TGTGGCATTACCCAGAGGCAAGATCACTATTTAGAGGATTAAAATAATACAAATAGGAGAAGTAGCGTATGTTGAAATGGATCGGTATTACTTCTTTTAAAAGGTAATGCCACTTTCAGAATTCAGAGTAACTCTTTTTTATAGAATAAAAGAAGTGACAGCTAAGATTTTTTTCCAATGCAATGACTTCTCCAAAATAATTTATTTTCTGTCAATTTTAAGGAACAATTTCATTTGCAATTGCATATAAGGAAGAATGAGAAGGGTTATAGTATAAACAGTTTGACATGTTTGAAAAAACAATCATAGCTCTAACCCTTAGAAGTTGAAAGACATTAGGGATCGTGTTCTTCAGAACCTCATTTTATAAATAAGAACCAGAGGACTTTAAATACTTGTCAAAGATCAGAAAAGAATTAGAGGAAGACCTGGGAATAATATTAAACTGTTAAATTAATAACAGTTAAATTAAACTGTTTCCAGTTCAATATTATTGAACTGTTGATTATCAAGATTATCAATTTAAATTCAGAGAAAACATTACAATTAAAGGGGGAAAAGATGAAGACATGCAAAAACTTTGAATACATAATTAAAAAAAGAAAAAAATGAATATATTCACTGACTCAGGTTAAAATCTGAAGAAGTATTTTTCTTGAGATCTAGATGAATTTACCCAGGGCCTTATCCGTAATCTAGTTTTGGGATTCAAAATGCTGCCTAAGATTTTTATGAATTACTAGGGGAAGAGGATTGGGCGAAGGAAGATGCTTGCTTTTAGTTTTTTGGTTGTTTTTTTGCAGTTTTTGGCTGAGGCTGGGTTTGAACCTGCCACCTCCAGTATATGGGACTGACGTCCTACTACTTTGAGCCACCCAAAGATGCTTGTGTGTTGTTACTGTCCTTTGCCTTGAAGATAGAACCTCTTGTGTGCCGCACTCATTAGTTAGTATGTAAAAACTACTTCTTTGCCCTCCTGTGTGACTGAAGGTCAGGGTTGGTCCTGCTGTTTTGTTTAAAGGACTCATCTGGTGGTTTTAACATCTTTCCCTATCTGGCCACTTATTTTTACAGAATTTGAAAATTAGCTCTAATTTCCTACTGGCAGTTTCATCATTGTTTATTGAGTTAATATATTTAGTATGATGTTTCCATTTTACATTAAGCAGAAGCTGATGATTGTTTTGTAGGTTTAAAATTTATGTTTTGGGATCGCATTGTGTTATTAAGCCAGTGTTAAGGCCATCGACAGAGCAGACATGAGGTTTTTACATCAAGATGGTTAAAGAAGAGTAAACCAAAAGAAAATAAATTTTTTCTAGAGGTAATGATCTAAGACATTTATGTAAAATTATCAAAAAAAAAAAGTTTTGTACAAAAAAGTTTTGTTTTCACTTGATTTTTAAAGCAGAAAAACATTCTACTGTGTTCAGTTAAAATATGGAAAAGCTTTGGGAATCTGGAAAATCAAATGGAGTCAGTAAATGAAAGTTTAAATAGATATCATTCAACTTCCAAAGGAGGGTTAAAGGACATGACCTCTTTAGAAAACTATGACCCC